TTGACAATCGATTTTCTTCTTATTATCGAATTTTAAACAATATTCCTTATTTAAATGTTAAAACTCACTAAAAAGTATCAATAGCGATACAAAAAAGTTAATATAATTAACCCTAATTGCAGCAATACTCTTAAACGTACTTGATCCCTAGACACTTTTGATGTGTGTATGTTACACGATAACTTTTGTGAACAGATTTTTGATGATTCTTTTTTGGTGGGAAGAGGGTACCTCAGTATTGGTCCCATTTATTTCTTCAAATTTAAATTTGATTTAAAATTTAAATTTAAATTTGAGAAGAAAATATTCCACCTGTAAGGGTGGCAAACTAGGGGATGAACCCGGTTTCGCGCATTTTCCGATAACCGATTTCAATAAAACTTGGTAAATAGGTATAATTCACGAACTTTTGAGGTTAGTTTTTTAGTATTCTGTATTGAGTTTATAAGGTAAATAGGTATAATTCACGAACTTTTGAGGTTAGTTTTTTATTATTCTGTATTGAGTTTATAATTTGTTTAATACTATTGTCCCAAGGAGTGCGGTGTGCCCTAGCTGTGCGACACAGTTCCCCGGGTGCGCGGTGTCGGCGCGGCCGCTGGTGGCGCCTCACGCCGTCTGGACATGTACCACCTGCGCCTCGCGTGCTCAGCATCATGAACTTGTTCTACGTCACTCTTGTCCTATGTGCCATGCTCAACTATCATAAGCGCCAAGTGCCTATGATAGTTGAGCTTAAATTATTGCACTGTACCAAATTCTGGATAGAATATGATTTTGTACAGCTTGATCGAGAACTCATTAATGTTTTTGGCATTTTGGCAATATATAAAAAAAATTGTAACTAAGGCTTTAATATAGAATTGTGCAATCAAGAGCATATTAAAGGGATGTTGGACTTCAACTGTTCTTATCGAAATTATGACCCGAGAAATAGGGAGCTCCGGGGAGAATACGGGCTCACCGGTAAGGCCAAAGTACGGCGGGCGTCCGGGCCAAGCCCTCCGCCAGTGATACGCCTTCACGGGCGTCTGTTGGACTCGGACTCTGGGTATGGACTCGCTTGTAGTAGCTGCAGAAATGGACATGTTCGTCTGCTCCGTTGATGCGTGGCCGGGGCGCCAGTCTCGTGCTCAGCTAACGCGTCTAAGTAGTGGAGAAGAAATCCAGTCTTGTCGGAGTCCATGGTTAGTCGTTTGAATTTGACACTTAAGGCAGTCTCCGATTGGGGCGATGCCAATCTTGTCAAATTTAGTGCTACCAAAACGCAGGCGTGTCTTTTCTCCACTAAACGGAGTCCCTTTCACCTGACTCCGACTTTTCGTGATATATTTTCTTCTTCGTCTTCGCCTACTTGGAATGGACCTGTCGTCCAATCTGAACTTCGGCAGATACAATGAATCCATGACCAAAAATGCAGCCAAGAAACTTGGCATCCTTTCCAAGGTGAGCCATTACTTCAGACCGGGACAGTTGCTTGAGCTGTATCAAGCGCGAGTCCGGTTGTGTATGGAGTACTACCGCCACTTATGGGATGGCTCTGCTGAATACCTACTGGCCACCTTGGATTCAATACACAAGCGTGCTAAAAGGCTTATAGGTGACTCGGAATTAGCAGAGGCGAAGCTGCAGAGCCTTGAACACTGCCGTAGAGTTGCCAGCTTATCGGTATTGTACCGGATATATCACGGAGTGTGTGATGGAATGGCATAATTTTATTCTGCCTTCCTCTATCTATCATCGGGGGACTAGACATGATCTGGGGACCCCTATGTTGTGGATATTTTCCGGATTCGCACGAAGCGTTTCACTTCCACATTTGTATGGCGAGCGGCTAGGGAGTGGAATTCCCTGCCTGCAGACTTGTTCCCCGAACGCTTTAACTTGGCCCTTTTCAAGGCGAGAGTAAATAGGCATTATTTAGGTGTGCATGTTACATCCTCGACCTCATCGCCACTTTCCATCAGGTGAGATGGAGGTCAAATGGGCACTTATCTTTTATTAAAAAAAAATAGCGGTCTAGATGAGGGCCTTTTCCACCGGTGAGGCGTGATAAGGCGAGGAGAGACGAGAATTGAAATCGCGTCGGCCCATTTCCATGAAGATATATACATAATAGCTCTCTATAATTGTGGATAATCAAGACTCAGTGCTATTCAGTTCATTGAGCGATAAATACGCAGCTGAAGTAATATATGGCGTAAATTATTATTATTAAATAAATGTTAACGGAAGAAAAATCGGATGAAACCATCTTTTTTTAAATCTCAAATCGTAAGTACCCCACAATCTCGCGATTGATATTAATAGTCAACCCTAGCTAGCGCGAGACCGTGCGGGCGCTCGCGAGAAATCTTGTTTCCGTTAAAAGAGTATCATACTCTATTTGGGCAGCAATACGGTTCAATATTACATCAAAAAATATTCCAATTCTCGCCTCGCCCATCCTCGTTAGTCCAGACCATTTCCATCGAATATGGGCTAGTAGAGAATTTAAATTTTATAATACAAATTTTAATTCTCGTCTCGCCTCGCCGGTGGAAAACCACCTTATGAAGAGGAGAGGCGTGGGACACATAAGTTGCCCTTTAAGCTGGATGCTATATCCGGACATAGTCACAGGACACTGCGACTGACATCTCCGGCACTAGCCGGAGAGCTAGTAGAGGATGAAGTAGACATTCTCTCCGGTCCCTCCAGTCGCGTACTGTACACTGACTGATCAGGGGTCAGGACCTTTGGTACCTGTACTTGCACATGATTAGTATCTTTTTTGGATAACCAAGTGGTTGATAGGAATCGAAACACATGCTGAACATACGGGAGCTGTTCTTATGAGCCTCTTGCGAGGCATGTAATAGAATTTATATTTTAAGTGTCAAGCTTCATGTGCTATTGATCCTGTTCCTATCGATAGGTATTTCATTACATTGACAGCATTCTAATCAACCTTCCAATACTATTTCATGGTAATATGAGCGTGAAGACTGTTCACAGTTCCTTCAACATAAATATGTAGAGATAAGAATGTTTGTTCAATTTTAAGAGATTTAAAACATATTCCGTCCAAGAAAGAAGTATGTAGTTATTTACAGAAAATAAATGTTTTTAACATGTAAGTTATTATAAAAAATACAGATGTAATTTTCCCTAAACCTTTAATTTTAAACCAATTTCACAATACATTTCAAACATGTTGCTGAAGTTAATCATTAAACTGACTAGATATTCTGTTAGTCTGCAAATACGGGAAATTAACACGGAATTTCAAAATACAATAATATGAGCAAGATAGACTTATTGAATATTCTAAATGCAATTTATTATATTAGCATGGCTGATGAATAGTGATAAATATACATCCCCATACCTCTAAAATCCAGTTACAATAAACTAATTATCTCTAGAAGTAATAAGGAAATATAAGTATGTAATAAAAACATAACTGCAATCAGTAGATCTTAAAAACTAGGTACCTTTTTTTTTAAATTATTATTTACTCATTGCTAAAGATATTATATGCAGATTTCATTTCCAGTTAAGAATCTAGAGAATATTAGATCACTGCCCAATCAGAGGTGGACTACATAACAACACTTGGCAACTTGAACTACTCTTATTAACAATTCAAATAATTTACAATAAATTGTTAGCATGTCCTTATTAAAGCATGACCATAATTGAGTACTTAACGTTTTAATAGTTGAGTTATTATAAGTATAGAAAGTTGTCATTTTTGTCAACATTTAGTTGGTCCACCATTTCAATGTTATACATGTGTTTCACATTCACTCTAGTTTTTTAACCAACTAATACCTAGTTTTATTGCGAATATAACAGACTAAACAATGAGACTATATTATGATTAGCCAAATTTAAAATCTCAATTTTGGCCACACAGGAATAAAGCATGCAAAATCTTATGCCACCCTTTTAAATAAGTTGGTAGCTGTCCAATTGCCTCTAAAGTAACACAGCACATGCTAAATTATTAGTACAATTAATATGTAACTTCATCACAATTCACAAGTACCACAGTTCATCCAATATCATTATTCATATTACCATCTAGATTATTGCACAAAATTGTTGTTGGGCATATCAATCTTTGAGAACTGTAGGGTATTGTCAATGATTTGGAACAATTCTGGTGGTTGTGGTATCCTCCCAGTTTCCAGTTTGGACCACAGTGGGATGTTGTTGAGGGAAATTTCAAAAGCACCTGAGGAGACTAGTTGTCCTTCAATCATATTGGCCATGAAAAACATCATCATGCAAGCATATAACTTGTTCTCCAAACACCAACTCCACCACGATGGCTGTGGCTTATTCAACCAAGCGAAGATATTCACTCCGCTCAGGATGCACATGATCAAAATCATCTTTCCAAAGCCCTATAATAAAGAATGTAACTGGTTAACATATATACAGATAGGCAAGTATGTACAGTCAAACAGCACATTGAGCTATACCCTTTTGTTCGAGTATCACCTCCAATGCAACAGAACATGATCCATCAATATGTAGCTTGATGTACTGTTATCTTATGTTACAAAGTTGTAGTCAGATTATTTTTTATTGCTTTTGCGTCTTGCTTACTGCTCTTTATTTTTGCTTATATATATTCCTTATTATATTCAAAGTAGCAAGAGTGGATCCATGTCTCCAAGAAGGATATGGTAATGTAGCTAGGCAGCTAATACTCACAATCATCCTTGAAAGATACATGTTGAGGCCAGGTGGATCATAGTTTGCTCCAATAACAGATATTTCTGGGTATTTCTGTTGGATTATCCCAGCATAGTCTTCGAACACTTTTCTATAGCCACAAGAGTAACTAAACAAGATAAAAACACCGTAATTATTATTACAGCTGCTAAGAAAGCCAATTTTGCTAATACAAAAATAAAAGTAATTGTGACACCAAAGATTCACTATTCACGATTCGATTTTGAACATAATTGGTGATTTGTTTATTATAAGGTAAAGCAACATACCAGTAATAAATATTCATGATGTGACCAACTCCTTGGCCAATTTTAGAAATGCTTTCGACATCGTGTTCATTTGCCTGCACGTAGTTATCAGCAGACATAAAGAGACACGTAATTGTAATTACCAACAAACTGATAGAGACACAAAAATTTGTAGTCAACGACATGTTGATCATACGTTAAAAACGTTCTTATAAGCGTAATGTCTATTACAAATGAAAGAATCGTAAATAGTAAAATATATTGAAGGTTATGAGCGATAAGAACGACAGAACGAGTTTGATAAGATTACAATCGTGATTTCGCGATATTTCGTTGAACAAGCAAACAGACAGACAACCAATGGCGGTTTAGTGATGCGCGTATCGCGTTAGGCTTACATAGTTCATGAACTATATACTAACTTAGTAATTTAATCCCGATGGATTGTATAGTTCATGAACTACGAACTATTGTGTGAAGGCGTAAAACAAAACACACTGACAACGGGTGCGGGTCGGGCGCGTGTCGCGTCGGGAGCACGGCAGGTGTAATTTCGTGTATTTATATGAATGACAACATACCACGTCCCTCTCGCGGTTTGTGTCGTCGTCTGTCGTCTGAATTAGACCCGACGCCGCACCGTGCTCCCGACCCGACACGCACCCGATCTGTACACGTTCTCTGATTCTCTGTGTGTTTCACGAACGAATTACGTATAATTCCCGATACTAATCGATATGAACTAGTTGGGCGGTTTTAATAGTTCACCGATCTTTTTAGTTAACGATCTAGGAACTGTCTGCGTTGATAGTTCACCTGTATTTTATTCTGTCAGAAACAGTGCGAGCGGGACAATTAGCGATCTTTCACGACTTTTAGTAACTAGTACGAGTGTGATGCAGTATTGAACGTTGCCATTTCGTTGCCAAGTCTCTTAATACGTAAACACATTATTTAAGCTTGTAAAAAAGTAAGTGCTCAAATTTTTTAGTAGGTGTGGTATGTATTTGAATGTATAATTATCAACCTACGTTTTTTAAACATACCATTCTAAACCTCTAAACATACCAACTAAAATATGCGTCATTCCATTATTATTTTGTAAAAAAGGATATTTAAAAGAATATAATAGAATGACAGTCTTATACCTGTAAATTAAGAAGGAAATATTAAGGACAACGGTACATCAGACTACACATTTTTGTTCGAATATCGCCTCCAGTATAACGGAACAATTTACGTCAATGTGTAGCTTGATGTGCTGGGTGTGTGACCTGTACGAGTTGACAAGACGATCTAAGGTACTAAAATGAACTAGAAGACCGACCTAGTTCAGTTGACCGATTAAATTAACTAGGACCGATACAATTCTCTTTGGGACCGATACTTTTCATTACGGAAAGGCAAAGTTCTTTAGACCATGCAGCCTAGTCTTGTTTTAATTTATATGGTAACCATACTTTTATATTACATACATTGTAGACGACGTAGGTAATGGCATTTTATTCTATTGGAATAATTGGAAAAATTTGGACCGTCATAATATTTTTTTTATTAATAATTTTGGCTTGGATACAAGTCCTTTGAGCCATGTCTTCGTTTAATTATGTTTCTGTATATATGGCCGCCACAACAAGGAAGGCAATTTGAGGCGGCGTGCGTGGATTGACTCGGGATTCCGTAGGATTCCGGAATACCCATATACCCATACGGGCCCGTATTTTAGTTCGAGATTCGTATAATTTCGCATTTTAATCTTCGATTAAGGCACAACAGCACTATCCTATTCCATTTTAAACTAGATTTCACAAAATAATTAAAAGTCAAATTAAAAACGACACTTTTGCCTCCAAAAGGCCCAGAGCGAATCCCAATTAAATAATATTATGAAAATGTCACTTAGGGATGGGCAATTGATAAAAATTTGTCGATACTTAGTAGCAGTATCGATATTTATCGAAATAAGTATATCGATATTCCAATTTATTGATATTTTTCCCAAAGACAATATCCTAACATATTCCCAAACTGTATCTATATTAAGTATATCTATAAGATAAATTTGGGAAATTAAATTAACAGGCCTGAATGCGCTGAAGTTATAAAAAAAATATTGAAGATCATATAAAAGTACTTCCTGTTAACCGAGAAGCGTGTAGGACATTGATGGCTATTAAGGTACCGTATTCATCCAAATAAAAAATATAATGCCATCTCTGCTGGAAACAGCTACATTGGTTTTTTATTGCCAAAATAAACCAATGCAGAATGCAGCAGTTTCCAGCCGAATTAAGTGCGAAGTAAACTTAACAATTTTGTCGATATCGACATTAATAACAACTTTCCCGCATAGTAGATAGTCCCGTGGGGATTCACGTTAATTCTTTTTGTCACGTTTTGTTTGTTAATTAGTAACTGATGTTTTTATAGTATTTAATAGACACACGCTTGGCCACAATCTCATCTGATGTTAAGCGACCATGTGACCGACGATGGGACGCGTTTGCATAAAAAATGCCTATTCACTCTAGCCTTGAATAGCCCCTAATTGTACGTTTCGGGAAATACAGATGCAGTGCATTCCATTCCTTTGCCGTACGCATCAGAAAGGAAAAAACAAAGCGCTTAGTGCGAATATGTGGAATATCATCGACATAAGAATGGAGTGCTCCGGACCTTCTAGTTGACCGAAGGAGAAACGTTGAGGGTGGATCTAAATTAAAAAGTTTCTGCGCATACTCTCCGAAATGTATCCGATAGAAAACCGACAAGCACGCTACTTTTCTGCGATGGTCGAGATTTTGTAGCTTAGACTCCACAAGAGAATTATTGTTAATAAGTCTCTTTGCTTTTCGCTCCACCGAGTCCCAGGCAGCTAACTGGTAATGGGCAGAGCCGTCCCAAAGGTGGCAGCAGTACCCATACAGGATCGAACTTGTGCTTTATACAGATTTAAAAGCTGTTCGTGTGTGAAGTACCGCCTGACCTTGTAAAGTATGCCTTGTTTTCTGGCAGCACTTTTTGCCAAGCACTCGATGTATCGCCCAAAGTTGAAGTTGGATAATAAGTCCAGACCAAGTAGCTCAAGGTGGTCCCTTATCGGTACGGTTACATCTCGGAAAGTCGGAGTAAGGTGTAGGGGACTCCGTTTTGATGTGAAAAGACACGCCTGTGTTTTAGCCGCATTAAACCTGACCCTCTTAGCATCTCCCCAGTCGGAAGCCGCTTTCAGACTCAGGTTCAACCGGGTGATCATCGCCTCTCGCTTACACAGGATCTTTTCGCTGTTGTCTCGGGCGTCTGGCACACAACTCTCTACCACTGTGCTGTCATCTGCGTACCCAAAGATCCCAGGCATCAGCAACAGGTCGTTGATATGCAGCAAGAATAGAGTGGAGAGGACAGATCCCTGAGGTACACCGGCATTTATACCATGAGGAGCAGACGAGCACGACCATCTACAACTACACGGATTAACCTTTCGGATTAACCAGGCTATCATGCCAAACCCTATCAATGTCATGTCATGTCATGTCATAATATTTATCGGCAATATGAATTGAAAATTCGAGAACCCTTGTCTACTAGCTCACGAAGTCATGGCGCCTCATTATATTGATATAATAAATCTGTATTTTTTATACATATATATATATTTATATAAAAAAGACAGTTTTATTATATATATATATATTACACTGCAGTAAACAAATGAAGAAAACAATAAGTGAATGAGTCTCAGACAAAAGGTTTTTACTTACTTCGTTTCATCTTTCGGAAAATGATGATAAACAGCCGTACACAGCACAATTCACGACCATTATAAATAGTAATGTAAAACGATGTTTTATATTAACGTACAAGTTTCGTAATGAATAAATGAAAACTATATTTAAATACCAAAGCCGTCTTCGCGCGGCAACGGCTCGCCGGCAGCCTTGTTGTCGTTTAATCAATGTGACCGGCAATGTGCGGGGTGTGGTGCGGTATCTAAAGCTCGGGAGGGCGGAGAGTGTTCGTTCTCTTTACTTTTAGGCTATACATTTGCAAGCTTCCAGGTTTTCGGGACTTGTCCAAAACTCATAGAGAGGCGATACAGGCGAGTCAACATCGGAGACAACTCGGGTGCACAGTTCCGCAGGACAATCGCTGTTCTGTCAGCGCCCAGATACACGAGGAGAAAGTTTTCGCGCGGCCGCCGCGCGGTCGAAGAGAGGAGTCCGCGGCGGCTGTCGCGCGGTCGAGGAGTGAAGTCCGCGGCGGCCGTCACGCGGTCGAAAAGCAGAATCCGCTCGGCCACTGCGTAGACAAAAAACAAGCTAGTGCCTTCCAGCTAAAAGCTAAATAAATAGAACGTATTTTGCCATGACAGTTCGGTCTCTGAACACGTGCACGCGGTCGCTGAGCGGCGGCCGCCGCAGACTCCGCTCTTGGACCGTGCGGCAGCCGCCGCGGACTCCGCTCTTCGACCGCGCGGGGTGAGCGTGATGAAATTGGTGTCGTATAAATGCGCCCTCAGAGCCACTGGTTTTGTAGACTTCTAATTGTGGTGTTTGCAAAGTAGCGTCAAAACGGGAGTTGGAAGCAAAAAGAGAAACAAAAAGATTTGCTTTCACTTTAGCGGTGTGAGCCAGCGACCCGTCAGCTCTCATTAAAGGCGAAAGGGATGACCTGTAGAAATTCGCTTCGACCGATTTAGCAAGCGACCAGAATGCTTTACTCTCTGAAGGGTATGAAGCTAACCTGGCCCCAATGCGACTAATATGGCCGAAGCGAGCTTTCCGTATCGCTTTTTTGCAGGATCTAGCGGCTTTATTAAAAGCTTTCTTCAGACGGAGAGTTTCCGGTGCTTTGCGATCTCGAGCATCAGTCCAAGCCTGGTACGCAAATTGCTTTAACGTTTCCGCAGAAGCACACTCAGCGTTAAACCAAGGGCGAGCTTTGCCGCTGGAAGAGACTTCGAAATACGGAACAAAGTATTCCATAGCCCGAATAATCACCTCAGAGACGGCAGACGCGCATCACGTCGGAAGAAGAGTGGGACTCTCTAAGAAGAGAGGCCTTCCCACTAAAACTCCGGGGGTGGTCCTCCACGCACCTTGTGGCGGGAACGCGAGGACGCTTCCGCATTCTTCCGCGAAGCCACCGGTGCCGTCCGTTTGCACGGATCCTCCCAGAGTCCAGTGTGGGAATAGTTCAACCTGTTCTCCAAGTCGCAGGGGACTGCCTGGAACACTTGGCAGCCCGCTATCGTCGCCAGGGTCCCTTTATGTTCGAGCGGCAGGATTCCCTGATCCTACGGGAGCGGAAGCAGGTGGGCGTAAGCCCGCCTTTATCGCCCCATTCTCCTCCTGCGGATCGGAGCCGAGAGTGGATCGTCCTCTGGACTACGCTCCGCAGCCTCCTTCTGCGCCATCACTTGCTCGCAGAATGAGGCCCGCCTCCCATGACGCCACGTCGGCGACCATGACCTTGACCACGGCTGGCAGCGAGAGGTCATTTCCCACCACTGCAGCGAAGGAAGCGCGTTGTTGCACCCACGCTTGGC